GCTCAGTAATATAATATTAAATTAAAAACCCTGGCCCCCGGCTCCTAAAAGTGCGTGCATCACTTTAAAAGTCATTCCTATGCCCACATTAGCTTTTCCTCTCAGTGGACACGCTTTAGAAGTATCTCGGGACTCAAAAGCGATAAAGTCCCTAAAAGTCAACTCGGGACCTCATGGGGTCCACGACCTCAGAATTCCGATCTGATCATTCCTAGAGGTTCCAACAAGCCTAGGACACATGTCTCGAGAGTTTGGTCTCGATCGGACGGTCGGATTGCTCACGATCGCACGATCGGACGAACGAACGATTTTCCGTAAATCTAGCCCTAGGGTTGGCTTTTTCGGAGCATCCGGGACTCCAATTGAAGATCCGTCGAATCCTACACGATCCTGAAATTACCTAGAACGACATACTCCAGTTTGACTACGATCCAACGGTCCGAACGTATTGAACCCGGAAAACGCACACTATGCGAGATCCGTTCGGGGTTCAAACGTTATCCGAATTGAGATCCGCGAAATCCTACGCGCTCGTGAGGACACGAGGATCGTTCTGGGACCAAGAGTGGTCCCTGATACCTGGCCCACGCGCCGCCCACGCGCCGGCCGCGTGTGGGTGTGCCTAACAATTCCGGCGACCGGAAAATCTCTAAACCGCCGGCCCAAACTCCTAGTTTAGGTAAAACACCAAATTTGGAACCACTTTTGTTCTTGGACTAAGGCCAAAAGGTGACCGGAAGTGACTGATTCCGGCATCCTAAGCTCGGCAGAAACTTAACTCGAAAATTAACCTCTTAAACCTCAAAATCTCTCCAATCCTACCCAACCATCAGCTAGAGCATGAAAATCAGTCGAAAAACCATACCTAATCCGTCCGATTTGGTGGCCGGAGGAGGGAGTTTGAGGGATTTGAAAATCGGAGAAAATCTGCCGCGATTTTCTGGTTTTTCTGGCAGCTTCGTGGCAGCTGGACGGCGGAGCAGGCTGGCTGGGTTGCGGAGGTGGCGGCGGTGCTTCCTTGGCTGGTCCGGTGAGGTGTGGTGGCGGCTGGAGGTGGCTGCAAATTGGGGAGGGTGGCGGCTGAACAATCGAGAGGGAGAGAGAGAAGAGATGTGGGGAGAGAGAGAGTGAGGAGAGAGAGAAGAAATCTGGTTTTTTTTAAAAATCTGACTTTTTTTCCAAAATTTCAATTATGCCCTTTTTCATAATTTGAACGTATTATCTTCAATACGACTCGGAATTGAGCCCATTACGTGTCTACGGACTCGTTTTGTCGTGCTCTACGCAGTGGTACAAGTGGATTTTCCAAATTCTTTCTCGGTCAAAAAGTCAACTTAAAACCTAATAAATTATTCCGAGGGTAGTTTAGTCTTTTCCTTCATTAAATTAATAGTTAAATAATAATTAAGGTTTGGGTTGTTACAGGTGACTTCTTTTGCATCCTTGAATTCTACTCGCCAAGAAGAAAGCAAGTTGACGGAATTCATGGGCGGAATCGGGATGTTCTGAATGAAACCAAGTTGGTAGTCAGCGGCAGCGGGATAATAAAGTTCACCACCACAATGATAATTGCCACCTTTGTTCACCATTAGGCCGTATGGAAGATCTCGGCTGATGAGGATGCTGGCCTACATATTATACCTCTCCTCCTTTGTCTCTGTCGTAGGATATGAGGAAAGATCCATAGCTAGATAATCCGGGAAACGGTGACCTAAGCAAATGGAGAGATGCTCCCTGGTCTTCTCCTGGCACTCATAGAAAAATCGGAAGCAATCTCAACATAATGCTTCCGGCGTGGGGCGTTGAGCAAAGGTGGACCCAAAAGAGCGTTATCATTGGGGCAAATGGTGGCGGGACTTAATTCCGAAAAATAGAGTTGGAGCTACAATTGAAAAATCCATATAGGGCCAGAAGCATGGTAATCCATGGGTTTAGTAATTATCTCACGGAGCCCTCTATAAAGATAGGCAAGAAAGATTAGGCCCATGGCCACTGGATGGCCATCTACAAGTACTTCCGCCAAGGCTTGGAATTCCTTAGTAATCCTGCCAGATTTTGGGCATGCCAAGAACTTGCACAACCACATCACAAGAAAAGCCACATGCTCAGTGTAGGATACGCCATTGATGAAAGGGGGGTCGGTGGGCTCTCCGCTATGGCCACGATACTTTTTCATCCAACTCCTGGAGGTTTTGATCGACTTGTGAAAATCTAAGCCCACCTTGGCTTCCGGAAGGTTGGCGGCCGAGAAATCATCTCCATGAGGGCGAAGGCCGGCAATGGCGGCCAAGTCTAGCAAGTTAGGTGTCATCATCCCGAAACAGAGCCTCATGCAATTGGTGGATGAAGACCAAAAGCATAGCGCTGCAATAACAAGAGATCGGTCGCAAGGAAAGACTCTTCCCGCACATAGGAGCAATGTATCATATATTCCAATTTTCTTCCAATGGCCCTTCAATTTTGGTTCTAAAATTTTGAACCAACGATACCAATCAATATTACCTTTCGCCGAGCTCGAGTGGTCGGATTTCCCGACGGCAGATGATGCTTTATTTGATAGGGCTCCTTTAGTTCCGGCAGAATCCATTTTGATGGGGGTCCCCGTTGGCCAACCTTTGAATGGCTTGAAGTTCTCCCAAAAAGTTGCCCATGTAAAGTCTGAAAAATAAGTTGGGCCATTTCTCGGCTGCGTCACCCACACCTTCGCCACCTCTTCTGGGTAGGCCGAGAAAAATGGACCAAGAATATATTGGGTAGAGTTGGGAAAGGCATTGAGGAAGTAGGCAAATACTTGCTTGCCCAAGTCTTTGTCCATGGCCACTTTCATTTCTTCAAAAAATTGGGCACTATCATTTGGAATGGATTCCATCCTACAAACATGAAGTAAAATCGAATCAAAGGAAAATATAGTAAAGAAAGTGAGATTCGAATCAAGAACACGAAGAACATCATGGCACTATTCATACATTCAAAGTTTCAAGTCTACACTTTTCAAAGCTACAAATTCATCAAAATCATACCAAAATCAACAAAGAATTAGTGCAACATACCTAGAAACTTGCAAATTTCAAGTTTGACATTGATTCGGGTGGATTTGGTGTGTGAAATGATGAATGTGAAGATAAAGAGGATATGAGTTTTGAGGGAAAACCTTCTAGAAACCTATGGCTATGGTGGGAATGTTTTATGGGTAAATAATGAGAACATTTGGGTATTTGTAATACCTAGGATTCTTAACAAAAATCCTTCCAATTTAATTTCAAAGCTTAATAACATGCAAGCCAATTAGAAAGTCTCAAACTTCAGAAATTGAAAGGTCTTGGGTTTCGATTTGCTTACCTCTACACCAATTCCAAGCTAAACAAATTGGGGGGCAATGTTTGGGACTGTTGAAAATCACAACCGAATTTGAAGGTTGTGAAGAGGTTGCAGCCGAAATCTTGGAGTTATCGGCCGGTTGTGCTGAAGATGCGGCCATATTTTTGCTATCAATGCCCAGTTTTATCGGTCGAGAGCCACATATTTTTGGGCAAGAGTCCTGGGGGTTTTCGTGGAGACTAAAGTCTGTAATAATTTTGCAAGTCGGCTGGAGGTTTGGAAGGTAAAGTTTCATGGGCTGTTTGGCCAACTTCAATAACCAGGTGGCCTATGCAAATTAAAATATGAACTTATGCAATTACTTTGGATTGTTGCATGTGCGGCCAGGCTCCCAAGTTCATGCCCTATATATATATATATATATATATATATATATATATATATATCTTTTTCACAGCAGAGTTTGTTAACTTTCGTGTAAACCCGCTTGGTTACTTTACATTAGACTTGTGGAATCATACGCGTTAATACAAAATTGTTATTTTCCACAACAAGTCTCTTCAGAAGTCTCCTTGTTGATCAAGCAAGGAAAAAAGGCAGAACCCTCTAAAATATAATGGTATAATGGTGTAGAGACGGTGGAACTTGACACTCATGGTAGTTTAATTGACATTGGATACTGAAGATGAAAGTTCATCCAAGATACAGGTTGTGGATAGTTATTATTGTACAAGGGCAAGATATCAAAAGAAAATCATATTAGAACAAGGGCATTTTCCTTTCCTTTTCTACCATTATATATAATGGAAAGATGGGCCAAAAGTTTTTATCCTATTATATATTTATATATAATAGGTAGCAAGTGGTGGAAAGACTTGTAGCCACCCTACTATCCTAATATCATTTTACTGACCAACCATAGGGGTTGATGATGGTTGGAAACTTCTCATTAAATGTCCGGAGCCCCGGAAGACATTAATCTTGGAAGGATTTTCAATGAAAGTTAGTTGAGGCCATTTAATGGCCAAACCCATGAGCTGAAGGAAGCTCTATAAATTGGTCGTCAGAAGAAGAGAAGACGACCTCCGACTAAACACACAAAATCTATCTTTTTATCCTGTACTTTTCAATTCTAGAAGAAGAGAAGATGACCTCCGACTGAACACACAAAATCTATCTTTTTATCCTGTACTTTTCAATTCATAGTCTAGGATTTTATCTTTCAAGTTCTTCAGATTATCCAAGTTCTTCGTTTTCCTAGTGTAAGCTTACTTTCTTGCAATTTAATTTCAATTGTCTTTACCTTCGAGTTTAATTCAAGTCTTTATCGCTTTAATCTATTTTATCGCATTTACAATTATGTCATCCTGTTTACTGCATTTACATTTCTCGCACTTAGATTTTGTCATTTTGTTTACTGCATTTACATTCATTGCCCTCATCACAAAAATCCTAAAAATAGTCATACAAATCTCAATCATCCTTGACCTCAAGGAAGAAAAAGAACCTAGGCCAAGAGGAGGTTCCTTGCTTGGCCGATCAATCGTTTGATTAAAAGTCCGAAGCGCAAACACACTCACACGATCTTTCCATCCAAGCCATCAAGTGGCTTGGTGGTGGCACGCCTACGCATCTCAA